TACTACACCACACAATAATATACTACACAATACTACATTATTCTATACAGCTATGAAGTATTCTTTTCCATTCCATACACATTCATCCACTTATCCAACTTATATAATACACATTCTCTTATCTACCATTCACACACTCACCTACATACCTACCTTACACATGTTCATCTGCACACCTACCCTACAAATACTCACCTACATACCTATCTTACACATACTGATCTGCATACCTACATTACATATACTCACCTGCACACCTACCTTACACATACTCATCTGCATACCTTCCTTACAAATACTCACCTACATACCTTCCTTACACCTACACCTACATACCTAATTTACACCTACATACCTACCTTACACATACTCATCTGCATACCTTCCTCACACAATACCTACTTTATACATACTCCTGTTCCTACCTACCTTATAAATAATCATCTACATACCTTCCTTATATATTCTCATCTACATCCCTACTTTATATACATACTACTCCTACTGCCTACCTTATACATACTCATCTACATATAATCTATACATCCCTTCTCTAACTGCAAGAAAATTTCTCGTTTTGAAGGAAAAACAGTTAGGGAGACCCATTTTCTGTAGTCTGTATAAAAAAATAGGGTGACCCATTTTTGTAACAAGTGTACTATTCAGAGTTATATAGGAGACATTTTTCTCTTGCTGAAGCTAAGCTTCCAAAGTGAACACTATTTTCTAGTTGTCAGTTTGGTTTATAGAGATCCTGGTCTAGTGCTTTTCATAATACTGAGATAAGCACCTTTCTTGTGATTGTTCAAGAAGTCTTTCTGGTTTGAAAGACCACAGGAATGGAGTTTCAAAACATACTCACTGAAGAAACACGTGCACTCTACCTGGAAGATTTGCAGAAAATATTGGAAGGAACGCCTCGTCCTCTTGGTAAAAGGTGTTTTCTAGCTGAAGAAAAGAGCTATAAGGTTAAATTGGAGAGAGGTTATGGATATTTTATACAGCTTTACAATTGTCTCGCTGAATGTTATCATGCTGTGGGTTTTTATCGTCATTGGGATGGTATCCATATATACTTTGACTCCAACGGTGAACGACCATGTCAATTTGTTGATAGTTATGAAAAACTTCATAATGTTGAAAACCAAATTATTGACATGAGGCTTGGAGTCCAGAATTTTGATAATTGCGCATACTTTGCTATAACATTTTTGGATTTTGTTACGAGTTCTAAACTTGGTAGCTCTGTTGAACTTATTCATGATTTTGAAAATTACATGTCAAAATATCCAGACGAGACAGTAATCCTAAATGTCAGGTCAATGTTGAACGAGCTTCCTAATAAAATCAATCTAGAGACTTGTTCTCGCAATAATACTTTAGCACCCTATACCGTCCATCGCCCAGCAAAGAACACCAAAGAGCACAAACATCGTTGTTATGTGAAACGACTGATAAACAAATTTGTCGGACAGAAGAGAAAACCAGGAATTCTGTCTCGCGAACTGATTGATAAGGCCATGGAATCTACTTTCTTGCCTCAAGTTACCCAGACAGAAAAGCCCACTGAGTCTCCTGCTGCATCTACAAGTCAGTTTAGCACCTTTACTACGAACACCATACCCATGGTGTGGGCGGTAGTGAAGAAGATTAGAGATTGGGCCACAAAGTTCTGAAAGCTGAATAAGTTACAAAGGCAATAAACCATTCATACATCCACACCCAATCACAACTGCAATGAGTTATTAATGCAAATATTAGCTTTATTTAGAGTGAGCAAAGTCAGGGTATTTTTCCAGAATGGTTTGTAATATACCACTGTGGATAAAATAATTTGACATATTTTGAACATTTCTGAGAGAGTTGCCTCTGTATTCATTAATGTTAACACATTCCAGTACATAATGACACAAGGTGTGACAAAGGGAAGAGTAGTTTGTGAGTGAATAGAAGGCAAGATAAAAAAAAAAAAAAGAGGAGCTCATAGAGCAGGCACCTCCATGTGGTGAGTCCTGGGTATTTTCTGTGAATGTTGTTACAGTTATGTGACTGTTGTTACAGTCATGTGACTGTTGTTACAGTCATGTGACTGTTGTTACAGTCATGTGACTGTTGTTACAGTCATGTGACTGTTGTTACAGTCATGTGACTGTTGTTTACAGTCATGTGACTGTTGTTACAGTCATGTGACTGTTGTTACAGTCATGTGACTGTTGTTACAGTCATGTGACTGTTGTTACAGTCATGTGACTGTTGTTACAGTCATGTGACTGTTGTTACAGTCATGTGACTGTTGTTACAGTCATGTGACTGTTGTTACAGTCATGTGACTGTTGTTACAGTCATGTGACTGTTGTTACAGTCATGTGACTGTTGTTACAGTCATGTGACTGTTGTTACAGTCATGTGACTGTTGTTACAGTTATGTGACTGCTGTTACAGTCATGTGACTGTTGTTACAGTCATGTGACTGTTATTACACAGTCACATGACAGTTATCACAGTCATACAAAGTAGCTGAGAGCTGCTCACACTATAGTTATCTGTCACCACACTATATATACTGTACGTGACATTATATATTATTAACAACAATTCCCTAGCTGTTGTGTCAATCAACAACAGAGTGTAGGGTAGTAAAGTGACACTAGGTCAAGAATAATGCCATAAGTTTGTACCTGATTAGCTGGGCTGTGGTTCACACGTCAGGTTGCGTGCAACCAGCAGTAACAGCCTGGTTGATCAAGTTTTGATCCACCACGAGGCCTGGTCACAGACTGCACCGTGGGGGCATTGACCCCACATAGAGCCAATAAAGCATTTGAATTACAGGGAATATCTCAAAGTCATAAACATGTACAGTACTAGCTGGAGCAGAGAGAGATAGCTGGTGATATATACGGGAAAACATTCAGCAAGGCATGCAAAATGGTTCAATAGTAAGTGCTGATCCACTCAAACATGTTGAGCAACCAAAAAATAAGTAATATTCTGCTACTTATTATTATTGTCATTATTATTATTATTATTATTATTATTAGTATAATCAAAACGAAGCACTAAACTATCTCCAAAAACAACAATTTCCACAAGAATTTATTACTTATTTCATGGTGATACCTTTGAAGAAGAGGTGTATATGGTATAGATTGAATGTACGTATTATAAAATACAAACTAATTTCTAAGCTCTTCTGATCAACAGTTGTAAACTATAGCCTTATTATCATTATTATTATTTATGAGGGAGCACTAAACTAATAAGGGTCATACAGTGCCTGTGGGAATGGGAGGCAATCAGGTTCAATCCAAGGAACAAACGGCAAATTCAGCTGCCTGGGCCAATAGTCCCTCAAGGGAACTTCCCTTTAGTCTCAAAAACAAAGAAAACTAAGTAAGTAAAGTGGAGTACACCATATTATACAATTAGGGTGATTAACATTTATAGACTATTTTGAAGAAAGCCCCTTATTATGCACGGCATTTTGAGCATCCTTAAAACTAAATTATGATTGGCAAGACATATGCAACAGTTAGGTATCTTTATTCTGAAACATTTAATCTACACAGTAGGCTTCTTCAGTCGAGTACGAAAAAGTTGACATTTCGTCATCCAGTGTTGACGGAGGACTGGATATTTGTACAGAAAAGTTGGCAGAAGCAGTAAAGATGTGAAGATGATGTAATCAGTCCATCACCCTTGAAGACGTAGTTTTGAGGTGGTCAGTCCCTCAGCCTGGAGAAAGAGTTTTGTTCCATAGTCTGAAACATTGCTTTAGACTATAGAACAAAAACACCATGGACAACTTTTTCAGTGAGAATGGTTGGATCTGAGAAAGATATAACCTGTCATTGAATACATTCTTTCTTTTACAAGTGGACTACACCTCTCCTTCTAGCAGTATATAAGTCTCCGTACTGTCCTTTCAACTTCACATTGTTTCAGAGTATGGAACAAAACTCTTCTCCAAGCTGAGGGACTGAACACCACTAAATCATTATTATAATGGGGGAGTGCTAAACCCATAGGATTATACAGCGCATGTGGGGGAGGGGAATGGAAGATATTCAGGCTCAATTCAGGGAACCTGAGCACAAATCCAGTTCCCTGGGTCAAGTGCCCCTCACCAGCGTCAAGGAACCTCCCTTGAGGGACTGAACACCTCTAACCTACGTCTTCAAGGGTAAGAGATAAGATAAGATTTCGTTCGGATTTTTAACCCCGGAGGGTTAGCCACCCAGGATAACCCAAGAAAGTCAGTGCGTCATCGAGGACTGTCTAACTTATTTCCATTGGGGTCCTTAATCTTGTCCCCCAGGATGCGACCCACACCAGTCGACTAACACCCAGGTACCTATTTGCTGCTAGGTGAACAGGACAATAGGTGTAAGGAAACGTGTCGGAATTTCCACCCGCCGGGAATCGAACCCGGGCCCTCCGTGTGTGAAGCGGGAGCTTTAGCCACCAGACCACCGGGATGGATCGATTACATCATCTTCACATCTCTACTGCTTCTGCCAACTTTTCTGTACTCGACTGAAGAAGTCTACTGTGTAGGCGAAGCATTTCAGAATAAAGATACCTAACTGTTGCATATGTGTCTTACTTACCAACCTGTCATACTGTATACCATTTTAATATTAAATTATGATTACTAGTATATGAGAATAAAGAAATCTAATTAGTATGATTAAAAAAAACATCACTGGCATCAAGGAACCTTCCTTGGGGAATAAGAAGTGAAACTTTTGTTTTATTGCTTTCATGAGGGAGCGCTAAACCCACAACCGTCCTAAAGTGCCTCGGGGAATGGAAAGCATTCAAGCTCACTTCAAGAAAATGGAGAACAATTCCAATTCCTCAGATCAAGAGCCCCAGGCCGGCATCTAGCAACCTTACTTGGGGGGGGGGGGCTACACGTGATAAAATAAAACACCAAAATTTAAAACTTTAAACAAACTCTTAGGAAAACACAATCCAATAACCTGAAGATGACAAACCTTACACAGCCTCTCACACTCTGCTTGACCTGGTGTAGATGTGTATATAACAAGTGTGTATACAAGTGTAGCACAAAGTAATGGAGATTGTTGAGAACAGCATAAACTGTTGTTCTTGTTGTTGGGTTTATGAGGGCCACTGACAGCTCACGCAGTATCCACCCTCAACTTCCCGATGTATGCTAAGTAAAGTAAGTAAGTAAGTAAGTAAGTAAGTTTATTCAGGTATACACAAATACAGTTACATAGAATTATCATACATAGCAGCATATGTGTAGAGAACCTAGGATAACCCAAAAAAGTCAGACTAAAAAAGTAAGTAACTAAGTAAAGTAAGTAATGTAAGTAAATAAGTAAGTAACTAAGTAAAGTAAGTAAATAAGTAAAGTAACTAAGTAAAGTAAGTAAAGTAAATAAAGTAAGTAAATAAGTAAAGTAAGTAAAGTAACTAAGTAAGTAAAGTAAGTAAATGAGTAAGTAAAGTAAGTAAAGTAACTAAGTAAGTAAAGTAAGTAAATGAGTAAGTAAAGTAAGTAAAGTAGTAAGTAACTAAGTAAAGTAAGTAAAATAAGTAAGCAAAATAAATAAGTAAAATAACTAAAGTAAGTAAATTAAGTAAGCAAAGTAAATAAGTAAAAAAGTAAGTAAGTAAAGTAAGTAAAGTAAATAAAGTAAGTAACGTAAGTAAATAAGTAAAGTAAGTAAAGTAACTAAAAAGGTAAGTAAAGTAACTAAGTAAAGTAAGTAAAGCAAGTAAATAAGAAAGTAAAGTAAGTAACTAAGTAAAGTAAGTAAAGTAAATAAAGTAAATAAAGTAAGTAAAGTAAGTAAAGTAACTAAGTAAAGTAAATAAAGTAAGTAAATGAGTAAGTAAAGTAAGTAAAGTAGTAAGTAAGTAAAGTAAGTAAGTAAAGTAAGTAAAGTAGTAAGTAAGTAAGTAAGTAAAGTAAGTAAGTAAAGTAAGTAAAATAAGTAAGTAAAATAAGTAAGTAAAGTAAATAAGTAAAATAACTAAAGTAAGTAAATTAAGTAAGCAAAGTAAATAAGTAAAAAGTAAGTAAAGTAAATAAAGTAAATAAAGTAAGTAAAGTAAGTAAATAAGTAAAGTAAGTAAGTATGGAAAATTTCCTAGGGTGCTTGACTATATGTTTACCGTAGTCACCCCGTGTAGACATGTGAGAAAACTTAACCACCTCTGGTCGCGGCAGGTGGTCCCCTCGACCTCACTATCTTATCCATATCTATCCGAGACCAGTATAGATTGGATAGCACCCACAAGTACGGTGCTACCAATTATTTGTGGACTGTATAGATTATATTAGTTTAGCTGAATGAAGGGGGGGGGGTAGGATACACATGGATACATCCATCAAGGAAAAACATTTGTACATAATCCCACTACTTACCAGATGTTCTCTGGTGGTCACTTGATGTAGCTGGATCAGTCGTAACCTATCTAATTATAACATACCACTACTGGCCAGTCTAAGGTTGCTATAACTAGAAGGGTTACTTAACTGTGGGTGATTGATATTCCTCATTTCTTGATTCACCATCTCATTTTCGATGTCCTGCTACACCGACACGATTCTCATTCCAGCAGGACGAGGTATCCGCTGGTTTGTCCTGCCTTTTAGACGTCGTGACTCAAGGAGTTTCCCTTTCCTCGTCTCGTTAACAACGAGGTCTAGCGTGTTCACTCGGAGCAAACGACTTATCTCACTTCACATATTCTCTTAATTAGCGTTATTATCATTAATTACATTACAATTCACAAGACGATTTAACGTCTCATAACTATTATACAAACTAGAGGTCACTCCATTAAGATCTGAGACCGATGAGTGATGATTAATCCAAGGGTAATTTTCCCAGGACACAGTCCATTGCGACGCGTCAGTCCCCGGTCCTTCTCTCATCACACTTTTACCACTCTATTACTGTGGTCCCGTAAATCCCTTCCCCCCTTTTTCCCCCCGGGAACCCATTTTACGACACTTCTTATTATAAAATGAGGTTTTTATTTTAACCCTTAGGCCACCTTTGAAGGGAAAATTTCGGGGGGTTCCATTTTTTCCCCAGTTTCCCAAACCACCTTTAAAAAAAAATACGCCCTGCCCCCCCCCCGCACACCCGCGCATGCGCCAAGGGAACTCTTGGTTTCTACTCTATTTTCAAATACTTTTGATCATATCGGCCAAAAAAAAAAACTATTGGGCGCTAAAGTTTCGGAAAAATTTTAAAAAATTTTTCCACACTGGGGGCGGGGCCCCGGAAAGTCTTTGTTAGACGATTTTAAATTGCGTCTTCCTCCCGGAAGGGGTTCCAGCCCCTCTAGTTTTGCGCTGCTTTTTCCCTAGGGGGTTTCTTATCAGTTTTTCTTGCATTACCCCGGCGTGTCTTCAATATCACTCTTTGTCATTTTCCCTTAGGTTTCCATCTGACAGGATTAAAACATCATTTAATTTTAAGGGAAATTTTAATTTTTTTAATGGTACAAAAATTTTCCTGACCACACAAAACACTTTGAACTTTTTTCTAAACAACACCTTGTGCACCCTGGGTATAATGTAAACTACCTTGCCCAGGGGCCCAAACAGTTTTCAAAGTTTGTTCATTAAAATTTTAAACACAATTTTCCCTGGTTGAATGTTCTGGGGTTTTACTGCCTCTGGGGCACCAAAAAAGTGTTAACGTAATGAAAGAAGATATTCTTTACCCCACACTTTCGACCAATGAATAATTCCCTTTTTTTAACTTTTTGGGGAATTTGGGTCACTCAACACCGCCCACGTTAGGGGAAATCCTCACATTTCCCCCTCGGGATTTTTTAAAAAGATAGGCGCAGTTTAACCTTTGTCCACATATTAGGTGAGAGGGAGTCAGTATTCCGCGCCCGGAATTGGTCGCTAATGTAGGGACAAAGGCAAATTTTTCCCACTCGATTCTCTGCCCCACCAAAACTCCCCCGGGAAACTCCCCCAAAATAAATTTTCTCTTCCTGTGTGAAACCTTTACAAGACATCTTTTTCACTGTACCTATCATTCTTTTCCTTTAACAGTCCCTCCCTGCCAGGGGGCTCGGGGAGTAATAAATTTCCAAAGACACACCCTCGCTGGGCCCAACAAAAAATTTTACTCATCACTTTTATTTAATTTCATCAAATGTTGACCCACCCCTAAAAAATTGGGGGGGCATTATTTTGAATCATCAATTTTTGGGCAGGTTTCGTTAGCTGAAAATTTTTTCCGGAACAGCTGTATGAACCCTTTTCTTCGGGACAAGCCTGACCACTTCTAGATGAACAGCCCTAGTACTGTACAAGTAAATAAAACAACAAAACCCCTTTCAAGGGGACCCCATCTAAAAAGTCCCCCTGCAAAATATTGGCCCACTTTAGCCCCACTCCGGTCCATAAAAATTTTTTTTAACCAACTGCCGCGTTCCTTGGGCAATGGTGGGGGCCCGGGGGTACAGGGTGGGGTTTTTGGAAACCACCCGGCGAAAAATTTTACACACGCCCTTGAAAACCCCTTTTTAAACCTTTTCCCCGCCCCCTTGTGGAATCCAAAAGGTTTCCCGAAAAATTTTTTAATGTATCCTGTACCCCCCCGTGCAAACGTTTTTAGGGGCATTAAAGCCCAACCCAAAGGGTTGTCAGGTGATTTTTTTTTGGGAAAGCAAGATGGGGGGTGCTTACCCTTTTCCCCCCAATTCAGCATTTTGAAACCCTCCCCCCCCTGCCCAAATTTAAACATCATCCCAAAATACGGGCCCCAGTTTTTTCTATTTTTTGGGGCCTTCACAAATTTTCCCGGTCCATCATAAATTTTTAATTTCACCCTGAAAGGTTTCTTTTGTACCCTCTGTGGGGCCATTTTTTCGGGGGAAGGGGGAAAAAATTTAAAGTGAAAAATTCATCTTATTTAAAAATTTTAAAAACACTAACCGGGGTACAAAAACAGTTAGGAAAGGGAAAAAATTTCCCCTTTTTAAATTCAAGGCAAAGGGAGGGATCCCCCCCCGGGGGCGGTGCTCCCGTAATTTCGACGGGGGCAATATGTGCCTTTTGCCCCGGCCATTTAAATTTTTCCCCCAGAAAAATTTGGCCCCTTTAAAACCCCCCGATAAAGCCTAAAAATTTTTCCCCCAAATTTCAACCCTCGGGGAACAAGGGGGTCGGGCGGGGTTCTGGGTCCCCAGGAATGGGGATTAAAGGAAAACATATGTTGACCCAAAAACTGTTTTTTTTTTTCCCCTGCTTTTGAGGGTTTTCAGCGACTCTGTTTTGGGTAAATACAAAAATTTCTTAGTTTTACCATTACGAATCCTTTTGAAAGGAAAACCTCGTTTCAGACAAATTACGGTGTTCTGATATTTATCTCTCGAATTTATTTTTATATAATTGGCAAATTTGAAAACCTAATAAATTTGGCCGTTAAATTCCAACTGGGGGAAAGGGTGCGTGATTTGATTGGAGCCCCTTACCCTTTTAGCAAAACAAGAGAAAACCCACTATTAATTAAAAGGTAAGCAAACTGCCCCAAAAGGTTTAATTTCGAACACCCGAAAAAAAGTGGAGTACATTCTCTCCCTCTTGATTTCCCAAACTTTAGGGGGGAAATTTCCCAACTTTGGTAATTTTAATACCCCCCCATTAGTTTTTCCCACCTTTCAACAAATTCCCCAGGTGGGGTTTCACCCCAAGCACACTTAACTTCCATGTTCTTGATCAACAATTTTCCTCTTAGGGTAAGGGGGGAAAAAAAAAGCCTAGTGGACCCGAAGCTTTTTAAAAAACTTCTGAACCCAAAACCCTTTTCTTTTTTAATTTTTTGGGGGCTTTGTTTTTTTAGTCATTAGATTTTAACGATAAAAAATTTCTCCCCTGTGTCCCCAAGTCAGTCCCAGCACTTTCCCTTATTTGGAATTTAACCCCCAGGGGGTTGTTTTATTTTTTTTGAACTCTTAAACGGGAAACAAAATTACTGTTCCATTCCCTCAGGGGCTTATTTTGCCCCTTTGCATTATTTCATTAGCCCTCCCGTATTTTTGTCATTATTTCCTCTTCAGTGGGAACGTCCCCCCCGGAAAATTGTCCACAAAAAATTTGTTTAAACCCATTACCCATCAGTGGACCACCCGTACGCTTAAGGGTGCATT